ATAGATAGATAGATAGATAGATAGATAGATAGATAGATAGATAGATAGATAGATAGATAGATAGATCAATTATTATCACAAGATAGGGTAATTGTTCAAAATAGATGGGTCCATCACTGTCAACAGATCGGTCAATTTCTCACAATAAATAGTTCGATCACCCTCGGAAGATAGGTCAATTACTTATGATAAATAGTATAATAACAACAAGTAAATTAGGTCAAGTGATCACAAAGCATAATTTTATTATTATCAACAAATAGGTCAAATACTCTCAATGAATACGTCAATTACTCACCATGAATAATTTATTTACTCTCAACAAATACATCAGTTACTCAGAATAAACAGGTCAATTACTCTCAGTTTATAGGTCAATCAGAATAAACAATGCAACGATAGTTACTATGAATAGATAGGTACCCAAAATAAATGGGTCACTTGATTTCTACACTGTGATGCTGGTGTCAGTGCTTGGATATAAGTACCGAGCTGCTTGTTATTTGTGAGGCATGCTGACCAAATGAGTTACTTCTCACAATCTGAAAATGGAGATATTGGCTGAAAATTGACACTGGGGTCAGATTTATAGATTTTCAATTGATGCCATTTTTTTCAAGTCTGCCTTGTCTTTTATTATTCCATACTTACAAATTGTACAAACTCCACCTATAAAGTTGATGTATCCATTTCCATAAGGCTAAATTCCGAGAAGTAACTCATTTAGTCAGCACACATCACATTCGTTTCAGCAAAGTGAAACATCAATACAACAATTTCAAAATCTTATTCTATCGTCACATCTTAATGTAAATGGTTGGATTTTGGTCTTGTCGTTCATCAAAGGAATTCAATCATAAACATAAATTTAAAATGATGTTTGCTTTTACTACTCATTTGAGAAAGATATGAACGTACTCATAAGTTTTAAACTTTAGCAATTAATAATGGCCGGTGCTTGTGGTGTAGCGTTTAGGTGCTTTGATGTCGCACGCAAGAATATTGTTTTCGAATATTTCGGTCTCTTCCAGGAATGTTGTATTCCTTTCAGTCCAGGTTGGCCCTGACAGGCATAGTAAAGGATCCAAATTGTATCGATGGGGGAGTAAAATCATCTACATATTAAATTTAAATAGCAAACAAAAGGGAACTTAATAATAGTATGTATTGTTTTGAACTTTCTGACACATTAGTGCTGTGTGCAAGAATGTCTTAACTGTGTCTGCACATCTAATGAATAGTAGAATGTGTGTTTCCGTATTATTATACAAGTGCGTGCCCGGGCGTGTGTGTTTGTCTGTGTGTGA